AGCTATAACTCGTGTCTGTGTACCGCCCATTTTAACGATGCATCACACCACCTCTTAAGGCTTCAAGTCCAAGACCTCTTGAGGCCAGAAAACAGATTTTTCACAACTTAGACATTAGCTAAAAAGGAGAAGTTGCTGCCTTTGGCAGATTAGCTGCCTATTTATCACAGCTTTAAAGCAGAATCACTGATCAGCCCTCCCTGATCAGAGAAAGTGCATGTTTTTTTTATTTACAAGGCTGGCACTGTGCACTTTAGGGAGGTGTTTCGTGAAGGGAGCGTTCTTCTTGTCTCCATCCTCTTCTTTTCACGGTACGAGGAGGGGCAGATGCACAGACAGCAGAACTCATGATGCTTATTCAGAGATTCATATTTTAGCACATGGTTCTGATGAATGAAACGCATTATAACATAGTTAAAAGCTCAAAACGGTGATTCTGTATGATAAAGGCCATTTTTAACATCCTCCAAACATAGCTTGGACTATAAAGATAATATGAAAAGTGCAGTGCTATTAAAAAGTATTTAAACCCTTGTTTTATTTTATTTTTTGTCACAACTTCATCTTTTTGCATCATAGATAAAGTTATGATGTTAGACAAACATCATCTGAGTAAATGCCTTTGTAAAGAATGAATCTACTTATTAAGAGAAAATGGCAATCCAAATTGACCGGAGCTTTGTGAAACAGGATTTGGCCTTTAACCCTAATGACAGGCTGTACCACTCATTTACAGGAAAAGTTGCTATAATATCAATTTTAAATGCAGTATTCTTTTGATTCAGCCTTATTGGAGGACGTTTTATCATGAAGAGCGTGCTTGATCTCCTGGTTTATTATTGAATGCATGTTCAAACTTTGACTTGGCTGCTCAAAAAACTTCAGAAATTTTATTAGTTTTGATCTTTTCCATTATGGGAGCAGCTGGTGTGCTGGAAATCCTTATTTTGCCACAAACCCATATGTTCTAATGTGCAGAGAATCCCCCTTTAAGGTTTCCTGGTAACGAGAGAAATCCAAGACTCTATTAACCAGGGCAAGTTATCAAGGACCTGCAGACATAAAGCAGCTCCGGTCAGCCAGCTTTAGTGACAGTATAGCACTAAAGTAACAGGAGTCAAGGCTTCTGTAACCCGTCTCATCAGTCCATGAAATATTTTCACAAAGATATTTTAGAAGATTTTTTTTCTTCTATCTCAAAGGCCATGATTACAGAGTCTATTTCTCTGCGATTGAATCATGATCTCTGACCTTAACTGAACCCACTTCATTCCCATTAGGCATCATGGAGTGATTTCTCAATTTTAAGAGTTTTGTTTTAAATCAGGCCTCAGTGATTTTGTGTTTGCTATCGGTTAATTACTTGATTTAATGAGAGATCTCTTATTTTATTTAATTCAGGATAAGAAACATTTTAATTAGACAAAAAGTAAAAAGTGTAAAACATTTTTACCACAGTGTATGTTTTTTTTTTTAACCTAATCTTGTCTAAATGGTTAATATGTTCCAAAGTGAATTAGTAAACACAGAGTGAGGTGTGTAATGAGTTATTAAGAACAGCGCTGTTAGATTAAGAATTTCTCTCTCGGATTAGATTTAATTTCATTTTCATTTCATAGTAATTACTTCACAAAAACAAAACTTAAAAAAAAAGGAAAAGAAATAAGAAAAATTGATTGTGTTTGAATTGTTTTAATCTAATGCTTTAACCCCTGCCCATTTCTCTGCAGTACTGCGTATGGACGGATGGTCTGAATGCCCTCCTGGGAAAGGAGATGACCAGTGATTACACCAAAAGCGACATGGACACCCTGCTCTCCATGGAAATGAAGCTCCGCCTACTGGATCTAGAAAACATCCAGATTCCTGAGGCACCGCCCCCAATTCCCAAAGAACCTAGCAACTATGACTTTGTTTACGACTGTAACTAGACCCTCATCCCCACTGCCTGAACCCCCCCCCTGCCCAAACCCAGTCCGCACTGTCTATATTCACTGGACCAACCGCCCTTTTTCTCCAAAACTGGAAAAAGAATAAATAAAAAGTGAGGAATGTTGAGTAAAAAGAACTGTGGGTGAGCTCTGGTTTCTGATTAGAGCTTTAAAAGAGGAATTATGTTAAATATTGATGTGTTTGCACATGGGGGACTCGGGGTGTCAGTGCAGAGTCATCAGGGTGGAGAAGAAAAGCCAGGAAGTTCGTCTGTCTCCACATCGCTGCCATAGCTTCCCTCCTGTGACTGATGTTTTCAAACTTTCTCTGTTGCTTCCTTCCCGCATAGGTCCTCGCTGTCTTCTTGCTTCTGTAGGCGCTTTGAAATTTCACTCTCTTCACCTCCCTTGTTGTCGTTAGTTCTCTTTTTTTTTTTTTTTTTTCCTCAGGGGTTTTTTGTGAGAAGGGACAAAGAAGACAGGAATCAGGATGACGGTTTGATTTTTAAGTTGAAGTACCAGAGAGACATAAAGGAGGAGGGATTTTGTTCGTCACCCTGTCTGAAGTATTTCTTTTTCTGTCACATTTCCATTTGTGGCAGCTAAATGGAGGCTGGATAACACCCAGCAGATCCATAGATCCTTAAAATACTTCATTGTTTTGGCTCAGTCTCATTTTAAAATACTGAAGACTGTTTAAAAAAAAGTGTTCCTCAAAATCCAGCCACTTTACCACAGTATTTTTTATATTCATATTGATTTTACTGAAAAAAACAAATGCTGCTCATTACTTGTACATACAGTGGCAGTGCCATCAAACAACAGTAAAAGAGCCACCATTGTTAAAAAAAAACGCAATCTTGTCTCTCCCTACTTCAAGTTTTTTTTTTTTTTAAAGACTGCTGTAAACAACATTCCTAAGCAATATTGGAGCTTTCGTTCTGTTTGTCATTTGTAAGATGATCATCATTTAGTAATTTTTAATTGTGAACAGCCTGGTTTTAGGTGTTTGGTAAAGGGAATTAGACGTTTTGATTTGTCACTGTGTTTATCAGACTATAAAGGCCACAAAGGTGAGAGTTTATGTATTTTTTTTTTTATTTAAAAAAATGATCATTTTTATTCCTAGTATGATTTATATTTGTCCTCCCTATTTAATGACTTTTTTTTTCCAAAGCCCCTAAAACTGCTGTTTACATTAAAAAATAAATAAAAATAAAAAAAGTCTGCCTCTTTATTTTTGGACAAGTTTGACATTGTTAAATGTGTTAAATTATTTGCTAGTATTACAAATAAGTGTCATGAAAATGTATTATTCTTTCTGTTGAAAAATCTGTCGGGGGGGCGGGGCTGAATTGCAAAACAATTTTACTACATATTTTAGAGAGGATATTCCTTTTTTTGAATGAAAAAAAAAAAGTAATCAGCTTCATGACCCAGTACTTATTAGAGGTATACTATGATCTAATAATTTTCTGATTTGGAAAAAAATTCTAGACAGCTCAAGGTAAAGCATTTATTTTACAGTTTAACTAAAATAAGAAGAGTTTTCCATTTGAGTCATAGTTTTCTTGTCTTTCTCTGGAGAAAAGTCTAATTTGGTATTATATCTACTGGTAGTTTTAGGGGAAAGAATTTCAAAATAACTGAATTGCCTGTACCAGTTAGTTTCTCATCCCAGGGGCAATCTAGTAAAAGAATGATTCCTCTGCTGCGGTCTAAATATTTTTATATTCTCCAGCTCTAAGTGAACAGGACAGGGTGGGTCTCCTGACTTTTCTCAGTTTAGGAAAACCTGAATGTCTTTTTATTGCAGGGAGGCAGAGGCTGCCTCATCTGACCCAAGATGTCAAAAACGTTTCCACACTGGATTCATTTAAAACAATTTTGGATATGAATGGTGGTCACTTTTAAAGAAGCAAAAAACATTCAGCCAAAACCTTGTAAGTCCCTAATTTGAATTTTATTAGGTTATCTTGGTATTTTCTTTGTGAGCACACAGTTATCTGAACACCTGCAAAAAGAAAATTGAACCTTTTTTTTTTTCTTATTACCCTTGGACTGTGAAGAATAAAAGGCATAAAGTCATTCAGAATACTTCCCATTAGGATAATCCAGATATTTGATCATTCTGAGGCTTACGTTTCATTTCAACACATTAATAACCATTTAAACTTGTGTAAAGCTTCTCAAATTTTTAAATCAGTCTAACAGATGTGTACATATAAAATATGCTTTAACTCAAAGTCATTGAAACAACACTTCTTTTGAGTAGACAGTTCCTAATCACTCACATTGATGACTCGACTTGTTTTCCTTATAAACTTGTCGCCTCATTAACCCCTCATTAACATTACTGAGGCCACAAAAATGCCTGAGCAGTTCCTTTTCATCCAAACAGTTCACATCGTACTGTTCAATGTTATTCTGTTGGATTTTTCTCCATATATCTTTCCACAAGGAAGTCACAGACATCTCCACTAAAGCTCATCCTGAGGGACCAGGATGCCAGTAGAGATTTATAATCCCTCTGGTGAGTTCTTGTTCTGCCCTGAGGTCTCCTTCCAGCATGAATGCCCAGAAAAATTCCAAAAGGACGTACCCAGGAGGCATCCTAATCAGACGCCAGAGCCACTTTAGCTGACTTCTTCAATTTTAACTCACAGAAGCCACATTTTTGGATGGTAAGTTAAGCGCATTTTCCATCCTTCCTATGAAGTATGTCACTTCTGTCCCTTCTAAGGTTTTGGAGCATCCTGCAAAACTTGTAATTTCTTCAAGGCACAAAAATCTTTTAAAGGTTTGATATCATTATGTACAGTTCAGAAATAAATATTCTTTTGGTGTACTCTTTGCACTTTTAACTAATCTTTTAAGAGTTATATTTAATTTCTCTTTGGGATCAATAAAGTATTTATGAATTAAGACATTTTTTTTTATCTCCCCCACACAAGATCTAGAAAATGATCAAATGAAATTCAGATATTTTTCTAAACTTCAAAGGAACATTCTGAAAGAAAAATTGGACATAAAAATGATAACCATTGTTTTTTTAATAATTATCTTTTGGAATTATAAAAGATCTACATTTATACATATGTGCAATAATTACATATTAGAAACTAAACCTTTTATTTAAATACATTAGTAGGGGAAAAAAAAATTACAATCAAGTTTAAATTTCTGAAACAAATTAAGATGAATGAAGCCATCAGGCAAGAGTGACGTGTTGTCCTGGTGTGAACGGCACACGTGGATGCAGCTTGTCCTCTAAACCTCCAAATGTTTCATACCTAAAAGGGAAAATCGGGTTTAGATGAGATAAACTGAAAATAAATTGTGCAAACATTTCTCTTTAGACAGACCTAAATGTAGTACTCGATTACTTTGATGATAAACTTTATTGACATTCCTCTATCATCTTTTTCATAACTGCTTACAATTACCCTGATAACTGATAAACTAAAGCATTTTGGATACATTACTGCTCTAATTTGAGTTTTAATCTAGCCAAGAGTCGTCTGGTTAGCTAGCACTTACAGTTTACTGTATTTGCTCCAGTCGGCTGGGCTGAGTGAGGGTCTAGTCACAGCCAGGGCAGATTTAATGTGAGCCTGAGACAGCAGGAGGCCCAGCTGGCTGGAGGCTGAACGCATCCAGACCAATTCTTCCTGCTCAGAAAATAAACACAGATAGACAGGTAAAGGATTAAATCTGCTGGAATTAAGAATAAGTTATCTGAAATAAGAAAACTGATGAGATTAGAACTGATAAGATGCAAAAAATATAATTTAAAATTTTTCATGGCTTGCTTTCACCTACTTTTCCTTTCCTGTAGCTATTCTTGATGCATCTGATGTCCTGTTGGAGGCGCTCCAGCTGCTCAGAGCAGAGCTCTTTGTATCCCGTCTGGATGGATGACATATAAGCCGGAGGGAGGCTGCTGACTGGCTCTCTGGAGTTGGGTCCAGAGACGTAAGGTGAGTCCTGTTAAAACATGCAGATGTTTAAACAGAGACTATATTAATGCATTAAGTCAAAATGACGAAGTATTTTTAGTATCTGTTGTTAATAATAATCTGGAGACAACGCTGGAGAAAGGTTAGAGGATAAGGGCACAGATGCAGTGACATCTATAGGACAGTTCTGAAGACTGAGCAGATTTTCCCTCAGAAGACATGTTGGAAATATGCTAATACAAGATGTACCCAGTAACATGCTAAAGTACCGGGATCCATTAAAAGCTTTTCAAATTCTATTACATTTAAACAAACATTCATATATTTAGTTAGATTTTATGTGGGAGACACAAGGTGGTGCATGATTGTAAATGTAAACAGAAATAATTCCTGATTTCCTAAATATTTTACAAATTAAAGTCACACTTCTCATTTTTATTTGAGGGAAAAAAGAAATATACAGACAAAAGGTTATATTTTTCCTCTTCTTCATAATGAAGAAATGCCTTGTGTTAGTCACAGTAGAATCCCACTAAATTACAAAAATCATATGTTTTAACTGTGATAATGTTTAAAACGAAACGTGGAACAGGTTCTGCCGTGAGGCAATTTAAGCTCACCCGTCTAGAAACTGGTGAGTTTTCAGTCTCTGACTCAAAAGAGCTTCCAAAGTACAGCCTCCAGACGTTAGCGTGCTGTTCTTCATGTTCCACATGTAGCTCTGCAGGCTCCAGATGACTCATCGACTGGTCCAGCACTAGGTTCTGGTCTCCTTCTCCGACAGAGTCATCTGAGCTGCTGGTGTTATTTGGGAAGATCATGGAAGACAGGCTCATGTCGCTGTCTGAGACCGAGGTCAGCTCCTGATTAACAAAACAAGGTTAACGTTTAAAACTACAAGAGCAAAGAGGATCAAAATGATTTGCAAGAGTTTGCCTTTTGTTTTCTCAGTCCAAAGCAGCCCAATACCTGGGATGTGCCGACGCCTGAGCTGTGGACAGCCTCTAGTTGTGCGTTGTAGAGTAGAGCCTTTAGGTCTGCTCCAGTGAAGTGCTGTGTCACTGCTGCCAGCTGTTCCAGGTCAACATCCGGAGCGAGAGAGAGGCCAGAACTTAGAGCCTTTAGGATCTCAATACGAGCTTCCTTAAAACATAAAGGAGACAGTTTTTAACTACAGGACACAAAAGCAGCAATGAGACTTTAATACAATACCTATTGGAGGGGTGACTATAATAAAAAATAATAATGAATGGAGCAGATGATTGAATATTAAACCTACACACCTGGTCTGGAGGAGGACAATAGAGGGACTTGTCCAGTCTTCCTGGTCTCAGTAGTGCTGGGTCTATTAGATCTGGACGGCTGGTGGCTGCGAGCACATACACTCCTAGAAAAACCACATTATGTCGAAATAAGATCCACATGTCTATAGAAATCTATTTTTGTTGCAATTTGGCTTATTTAAATTTAGAAAATTGCTAAACATGTCATCTTGAGGAACTGTATAAACAATATATGATCATATTTTTTAGAGGATTGATAGGAAAAAAAAATGTTTTGGGTGGTGTGCTTGATAGGTCCTTTGCTGGGTGTCTCTCCCCCTCTGTCATACCCCATTTCCTGTCAGCCTACTGTCGAAAAAAAAAAAAATACAAGCCACTGGTGTTGAAAACAAATAAATAAAACGTTTTGTAAAAAAAAAAACAAAAAAAAAAACAACAAAAAATTTCCATATTCTGAAGTGCTGTGAAAATTAATCCAGGCCTGACAAAGCCCCCTAATTAAGCTCTGAAGGTACCAAGACTATGAAGGAATTTAAAATAATTCAAATTCGTGTTAAAGATCAGATACATGAACTAAGAAAAGTGCAGTTTTTAATGTGTTACTTACTACTAAGTGTGTACCTTTGTGTAATAATGAAAGTAAAAAAAGTCAGAAATGTGATGAAAGCACGACTGCTCCCTTAAAAACTAAAGATTAACTGATCACTGAAAATGTCCGACCGTCTCTGTAACAGCAAAAGTTTTGGCTGTTTTCTGGTCTGCTCCAGTCAGGTGTTCGTTTACACAATACAGACACAAAAAAAGACACCAGCAGGAAACTCCAACCTGCAACTGACTGTCTATTAAGCTAGGTAGAGTTGTTTACCACTTCAGAGTATCTCTATCAAGTGTGTAAAGGATGTTCACCTCATACCACCGCTTAGCAAATAAAGAACTCTGAAAAAGCAATTTACTAGAAAAGGAGGAGTTTACAGCACCAAGTATAATTCTTGTCAAGCACGAGGGTGAAAGGCTAAAGAGCTGTGAAGCTTTTATTATCTTTCAGTTTATTTAAGTGGGCTGAAACTGACTGTTGTCGAGTTTTGCTACAACACTGTGACAAAGGGCACGACAGAGAAAGGAAACCAAGGTAGCACAGTGGCTTTGTTGAAGCAGAAACCTCTAGTTCCTTTAAATATTGTAAAATCACAGAGAGAAAGAAAGAAAAGAAAAAAAAAAAAAGAGAACCAATCAACCAATGAGAGAAAGAAAGAAAAGAAAAAAAAAAAACTATAATAACATCAGTTTAGAAGGTTAAAGATGCACTGATGTTTGAGCCTACCCTGCAGGCCTTCCACCCCATCCAGCTCGGTAAGCAGCTGGTTGACCACGCGGTCTGTTACCCCCGTGCTGTCATGGCCTCTTCTTGGTGCCAAAGAGTCGAACTCATCAAAGAAAAGGATGCAAGGTTTGGCACCTTGTGCCCTGAAACAAAAAGAAAAGGTGCTCTATACAGGGTTAAAATATTGCAAAAAAAGAAAAAAAAGTTTACCTCTGGAAAACGTCACGGACTCCTTGCTCACTGGCTCCGATATATTTACTCAGAAGTTCAGGTCCCTGCATGTGCAATAGTTTATCTCAATAAACAAGTCCTTGTTCTCCTCAAACACAAAACTTGAGCCCTTAAGATGATGCAAGCAGAGCTACCTTAATGCTGATGAAGTTCATACCGCTGTCTTTGGCGACAGCCCTGATCAGAAGCGTTTTCCCTGTACCTGGAGCTCCATAGAGAAGGATTCCAGAGCAATGCCGGATAGGAAGGTTGGAGAAGAGGATGGGATACTGCAGAGCATCAAATTAAACTTTAATAAAAAAATGGACATTTCTGATCTATGATGAGACATTAAAAATAAAACGACTGAAAGGTTGTCAATCTGAACGCAGTATGATGTCACTGCATCTTAACAAATCACTTGTCATTAACAAATGCTGTAAAGTTCCTATTTAGGGCTGAAACATTTCATCAAATTAATCCTGATTATTGAAATAATCCTCAACTAATTTAGTAATCGATTAAATGTTAACTGGAATATAGATACTCTGATAACACGCCCTTAGCTTATACATCAGCAAACTTAGGGGTGACTATAGCAAAATGAAACAAAAAATATTTATATTTTGCATTTAAGATCAAATAAAAATGTTTTCATCTGTCAATATGCTCTATCCAGAGCTCCTCAAATAGAATTTTTAGATTCACCTGTTTTAATTCTCTAAAAAACTATTTAAGAAACCTTTTGCCATCCGATTATAAATTGATCAACTGGAAAAAACAAATCTACAGATTAACCGATTAGCAAAACAATGGTCAGCTGCAGCCATAGTTCTACTTTAGCTTGCAGCTGTGAGTCTGAGGATTGATGCAGCGCGTTGCTCTGAAGAGTCGCATCCTAACCTTAGCAGGGAGCAGGATGGTGTCCATAAGCTGCTGTCGCACTTCTCGTAACCCTCCCACTTTCTCTAGTCCAACACCGCTCGGAGTGTGAAGCTCCACGCCCCACAGTGATGGAGGAGTGAACCCACTGAGAGCATGCAGGAAATCCCTCCATGACAGACAGACAGCTGAGAAATAAAGGGGGCAAACAAATACAAACTTTGATTAATTTAACAGATCATAATAAGTAAGTAACTTTATTATGCATTTTGTTGAAGGTTTTACCTTGATCACTGGGTCCTTTTTGCATTGTGTTAGCATGGATTGCACGCTCCAACAGCACAGTGAGATCCTGGGCCGTGTATCCCTCTGTCCTCTTGGCAACAGCCTCTAGATCCAGGTCTTTCAAGCTCTCCTCAGACAGGAAGGGCTTCCTCTGGATCAAATGATGCAGGATCTCTGCTCTCTGGGCCTGCAAAGCAACATTTTCTTAGTGTTTATACGACTTATGCCGTTCTGTGTGTCAATGTGGGGAAGTTAGCTCTGACCTGGTCTGGTGGCTGGATGTTTAAAAATCCCTGGATGAGATGGGATCCCTGGACTTCTGTGAGAGAAGGGTGGAGAGAGTGTTCGCTCTGGCTGGTGATGATCAGACATACCAGGCTGGAGTGGAGCACTGCCTCATCCACTATATCATACAAACCTGCAGCCCAGAACAGATACTGGTTTATATCAAACAAGACCCAATCTTTTAATGTCTGCTCTCAAGCCCTATATAGACATTTCTTTTCTTAAAACTGACTTTGTGCAATGTGTTGCTGCAGGAGAGCCTCAGGCCCATGCTCATGTTCAGCTGATGATGGTGCATGAGTCAAATGATCCAGGTCATCCAGCAGGACCACAGAGGGTTGTCCCCACTCTGCCTGTTCAAAAACATCCTGCAGGACCTGCCTCACAGTGTCGGCCCTTTTGCCTAAAATTGAATAGAAACTTATCAAGGTTCTGCTGGCATCTGATACTTTTCCACGTTAAGAAATGTTTCTTGACCTTGAAGCTTTTTGCAGTCCAACACCTCCACATGTGCGTCCAAATCCTCTCTGGCTTTTCTGCAAAGGGCCCGGGACAGAGAGCTCTTCCCACTCCCCTGTGAGAGAAAACAGGAAAGGTACTTGACATAAATCAGAACAAATATATATTCATTATTCAAATAGCATGCCTGTGTATAATCTCAGAATATTCAAGTAGATGATTAACGTTTAGTTTCCTCAACATATTTGGGGTAATTTTTCTGTGTTCCTAATAAATATTTTTAAACTAAATCCTTCTTTTGTTTTCAAATAATTCGCACCCCCCTTTAAGAAGAGGGATCTTAACTTCAGAAGTTAAGTATTGCAACTGTGCTGCCATTTGGGGAACAGCTTAACCATACTGTCTGTTTTCAGTTGTTTGTAGAATTATTTTGTTATTATCATCATTATTAACATTTTCATAACTACTAGGGTTAATTCAGACTAATTCTACGAGCAAGTTGTGATATATGCTGTGGTGACCTCTGAATAATGGAGCAGCTATGGTAGGTGTTGTTATTTATTGTTATTAACAACAAAATAAATGCTACTTTATTTTTTCCCCCACTTTTAAAATCACCAATTCTCTTGTCAACGTCAATACTTAACTAAAGTATTCACACCCATTGAACTGTTCTACATTTTGGAAAATAAACTTTTAAAGTATGTTATCGGGATTCAAGGATTCACAAAGAATTCATAGGCTAAAAGAAACTCTTAGTGAGATAATTTTTCAAAGATTTTTCTTAGAAGTTTCTCTCAGTAATATAAAGGTTTGTCACAAAGCACCTTAGGCCAAAGAGAATGTGGTGAAACAGGGAGATCTGTTTGGCTGATCCAGCACCTAAAAAGTTAAATGAATCATAGTTAAATAAATCTTAGCTGCACTGTCAGGAGCCAGAGCTGCACTGTCAGGAGCCTGGTTGCAGAGCTGAGGTCTAATGTACTGTAAGAACCGGAATTTTATTCAAAGACTTTCAAAGTAAAAGCTAGCGTATATAAACTCCCCGTGTTGTTATGCTGGAAACTTATGTACACGCACAATTTCACTCCCCACCAAACTCTTATCTGGAATAATAGATATGTGCTACATAGAAATACGTCTCTGTATTTGGATCACTGGATGGAAAAGGGTATTTGGAGGTTGGCTATCCTATGAGGATTTTGGTTTACTCTTTAATTCAAAACACTCCTATGCTCAGTTTAACTCATAAACTCTAATCTGGCAGCAAACACGTGTTGCGCGCTATTCCCGAAGGTTTCAAATACAACTTGTGGAATAAACTTCTGGTCCTGACAGTGCAGGAGACCCAGTTTTGCAGGTCTGCCATAAAGGGTCCTGACAGCGCAGGTCTGTAGCCAGACTCTCTTGAAGAATTAAGGAAAATCTATCTATAAATTCACACTCTCTACAAGTTTAAGTACATATTGACGAATGGAGTGTGAGTAGAGGGACATTGATAATAACATCACAGAGGGTTGAGATGCTAGGGAACACAGTTTGAATGGCTTGCTTCAAGGCGCTGACTCAGTCGAGCCTGAAGCCGCTGCTGCAGAGGCGGCAGAGGACAGCATGTCTATGGAGGCATATGTTAGAGTGTGGTGGAACAGGGGACTATGGTGATGCATGGCTGAGCCTGTGACTAAGCATGTATTAGCATGTACCGTTTGAACCAGTACGAAAAATCAGCTGCAGTAGTCACCATTCAGCTAATTAGCACTGAGGTGGTTTTAGACAGATATTGCAGAAGTAAAAAAATATCACATGAAAGACTATGATAAAAAAAAAGGTAGTCAAGAGATTTATTAAATTCAGTTTAAATGCAAAAAAAGGTAATTTTACATTGAGTAGCACTTAAGTTAAAACTCCTTGGCAGGAAATTTCAGGTTTTTTTAGGAGCTTAGCGAGAGGACAGATAATCTGTATGAATACAGACCCAGATATAAATCCACCTGGAAACTGATCTAGCTTGAGTTATTATATAATGGGACAAACAGCTTTCAGATTTAGACCTGCATAACCAGCAAAAGCTGAAACAAATACTGTATACAGTTAAATGGTTTTGGCTGTATCAAAATGTACACCCAATTTTTTAGATTTTTATTTTCTGTTGATTTTCTTTATAAACTCTTTATTTTTCAGCCTATATTTCAGTTCCTACATATATATGCCAAGTAAGGTTATTATCATTAACTAAAACTAAAAACGAGAATTGTAAAGAACACTTCCCTTAACTGAAATAAAAAAAAAAATAAAAATGAAACTATGAACAAAAAAGAAAAGAAAATTGCCTGGAACTGTAATAAGAGTTTACAAAACTATTCAAAACTGACAGAATTTTAAGAGAGAATGTGCTTTTAGTTTGTGTCTTTCTTATAATATGAGTTCTAATTTTTCGTATCTGCTTTCCTTTTTTCCTGCAGTACCACATTTCACCAGCAGATGGCCGGTAGGGCAATCGGGTCATTTGTGTTGCTTCAGCAGACTGTTCTTTTCTGGGTTTTATTTCTATCATTTATTATTTTTTAATCTTTCCCCACTATGTAAGCCAGATTACATAGATGACTAAAACTATAACTATAGTACAAAATACGAATACACTAAAACTAAAATAGAATTAAAAAAACTAAATAAAAATAAAACACAATGCAAATTTTAATGCTATTTAAACCTGGATGCTACGTTGTGTAAAATCCATTACATAATACCTAGAGAAAGACATTGTAGCATGTAGTTGTAAAGGGAACATTTTAGAGGACGGAATATTTTTAAATGGCAATTTAAAATGTAAAGATCTACCTTGGCACCAGTGATGAGCAGTGCTCCTCCTTTGAGTCCCCGCCCAAAGGAACAAAGTTCCCTTGAGAGGGGACTACCCAGCAGGTTGTGGGAAATAAACTGGAATCCAGTCTTTATAAGGTCTCCAATCCCACTAGAATAGAAGCAGCAAGTTTAAACATCTTAGGGTAACTTTTTTTAAAACAAAAATTTAAAGCTGAAACAGTTTTTATAACTTACCCAAGTAGTTTAGGTGAGAGGAGCTCCATCTCTTTTGCTTCAGTACTAGTATTTGGAGCAGGCTGTCCCATCGTCTGTCTGCTCACCTGAAATTCACAAAATGTCACAGAAGTCGGTAAGCCTTAAAGTTAAGAAAACATTGAGAAAAAACAAGACAAAAAAAAACAGTGTTAGTGGGGGTTTAATGCACTTTCTAACCTGTATGTTTTCCTTCTGGAGAACAGTGGGTGCTAAAAGAAACATCTGATCTGGAGGATCGTTCTCTGGTTCTGGTTTCAGCACCGTCAAACATAAGTCCATCTTTGCTATAAAAAAAAGGGGGAAAAATAATATATATTTATTATGAAAAAATGACATATCCATCATAGATAGAGATTGATGTCAAACTGCTTTGTTATTCCACTTCTCAGAGCTTGTAGCAGAAGTAAAAAGACTGAATCACCATCATTTCCGTGTAGGAGGACAGTGCCAGAGCGCGGAGTCAGACACGCCAAAGGTTCATGACTCTTTGTGTGCAGCCAGCCGAGAAAAGTTGTCTGGATCTCATCATCGTTTTCCTCAAGCTGAACAAAAGAAGAAAAAAAATGTCAACTATATGCATATATTAAAGCTGTACATCTTGTTACGGATCTGTACAAATGCAATCACAAAGTCGTGAGCCTCCTTTCCGGTGCCTACCAGAGATGTTAGAGGCTGTAGACGGATGTCGGAGGCTACTTTGACGACTGATTTCACGGGTTTAATTCTGACTGATGAATGAGGCTGGATGTTCAACTTGCAGGCCAGAGGCTGTGGTATCTGAGAAAAATAGAACAGATATTGAAGAATATACACAGTGCCTTGCAAAAGAATTTAAAATTTCATATATTGACGTTTTTTTTTTTTTTACTTTTAGATACAAAAAAAGCCCCACAAACCTATATGTCTTATTTGTATGTAATCTTGAGAATTGATCTAATACACCAAAACAAATTAATGCATTGCTAGGATGGATGGATGATCACTATGAATGCAGCTTCCCCGTAAAGGAGTATTCTACACAAAAGCAGCAAATGTGGAAGGAGTTGGATGGGTCACATGACCCTAAAGACGCAATAGTTTGGCTGAGAAAGGTGGTGAAGCATCACCCTGTTGGGAGTCGACAAAAACAAAGCTCTACAGAGATCATGAGGAACTACGTGGGTTTAAATACAGAACAAGACTGCAAGAAAAACTAAAGGTCACAAAAGCTTAAGACTGCAGGTTAAGTTCACCTTGCAGCAGCTCAAGAAATCAAAATACACAGCGTTACAATAGATGGTTTAAATGACAAACCATCTATTGTGTGGTGGAAAAAACACACTAAATGCCGGAATGAAATAATAAATATCTTAATCTTGTTAAACATGGGACCAAACTTCAGTGCCTCTCTGATTTCAAAACTGTATTTTGTTTAATTTTGATTCTATTGCAAAACTAATTAGCAGTCCAGCCCTACTATTCTGAAGGGAAAAAATTCCAGTCTCTAGATGTGCAAAGATACTAGAGAGAAATCCCCAAAGACCTGCAGTTAAAACTGCTATAAAAGCTGGTTCTACAGTGTTGAACGTATTGCATGCAACATTTTCATTTATAACTTTGTTATGAAAAAAAATGATAAATGATGCACTACTTAGTGCTGCTTGAATAAAATACATTAAGGTACATTATTTGATTGCAAAAGGATAAAGTTGAATAATTAACATAAAACTTAAGTTGTTTTAGACTCAGTAAGTTTGCATAAATGTATATTTTCCTCACCCACACTCTTCCACTATGGATCTTCCCCTTGCTGTGACCTCTCTCCAACATCTCAGCTTCATGGCATACCACCCTGACCACAGTGGCCTCTTCCCCTTTTGCCTCCTCTCTTTGATTCATACCTCTATCATTTTCCCCTCCTCCATTCTTCCTTTTCTCTGTTCCCTGCTTTGATTTCTCTTTCGCCTCCTTCGGGGATAATACTTTAAAAAGACGACCATACGTCACAACAGATTGCCCTCCTCTAATTGTTGTGTTCAGACTAAGGCTCCAGGGAAAAATGTGAATAACTCCATTAGCAATGTGATTTATAGTACAAAGAGGATCCGGAGGAAAACCGCACACTCTGTAGATGGAGTCGGGAAAAATGACAGGGATGTTGGGTACAGGAGGATGTTCTTTAACTTGATAGTAAGAGCCCCTTATAACATGACGGAGCAAGCTCTTCAGGTCAGTAATGCCTCCCCGATGTTGACTGATGTCAGAACAGGGGATATTATCTGATATTGGTTTGGAGGCGGAAGACTGGCTGGCATCTGGCCGATCAAGGCTAGATCTTGTGCTGGCGTCATCAAGGTTGCCGATATCAGATCGGATCTTCGGAGATACCATGAGTTCTGTGAACTGCTCCAAACGTCCAAATGGTGCAAATGGAGAAACGGAAGCTGCATTGAATTAAGATAGATGACAGGGTGCTTGTGAGTATTATCCAATGACAAAATATGACCGCATGGATATAAAGGAACAGCCAAATTAACCATACCTATTCTAATGTAGATTACTGTTTGCCTATTCACCCAAACAGGAAACACGGCATGCTGGAAAACCACTCGGATCTGATCCAGAAGCTGCTGCTCCAATGTAGAACTGTGTAGCTCCTGGAAGGGTTAGTCACATAAAGAGAGGAGAACAAAATTTAACAAAAGATGACATGGATATACATTTAGATTAAGAAGAGCAACAGCTTACAATCAACGAAAAATAAACATTTATTAAGTCCAGGAAAACTATATAAACCTAACCTAAATGTATGTGAAACCTTCATGTGACACTAAAGGGAGATTATGATCATTTTAAATTTTTTTATAATGTATGTTGATAGTGGTATTTGTAAGAACATAGAGTGTGTTTGGAAAAGTGCTCAATAAGTCCAACATGACTCTGGAAGGAGCTGCTGATATCAACAGGTCAAGTGGAAGAATCTGTCCTCAGGACAACTATTAGTCCATAAATGAGACGCTTATGGGAGAGCTACAAGAATAATGTCATGGTTAAAAACTAGGCATCAGTTATCCATTTTAACTTCCCAAAATGCATGTAGTAGACAAGTAAATGAGACCCAAATTTGAACTTTTTAGCAAAATGCTAAATGGAGCAGAAAACCAGCACCGTGTCCTGCTCCTGGTTAATGAGAACATAATGTCTTGGGGATGCCCAGGTGGGCCTGCATTTATCAGAAGGCAGATTCAGCTAACTATAGGGGAAAAAAAGGAAAGACAGTGGGGCTGAGGTCAAGTTCACTATAAAAGAAGAGGCAGAGCTTAAATAAAGTTGATTAATGGGCAGAGTAAAGAATCTTTGGGAAAACCTGAAAGCTGATGTTTAAATATGCTATAAATTTAGAGTTAATTGTAATAAACGCACAGCCAGACGCACTTCAACATGATTCTAATGGGAAAAATGTCCCACTGTTGATTGTACTTCTGTAAGGCACTGCAGCTATTCTGAAGACTGAGATGCAATGTTACCATCACTCACCAAGATCTCCCAGTCATCAGCCGACAAAGGCTCCACAAACACCTGACTTAAAGATGAAACTTGATGACACGCTTTAAGAAAAGCCTGAATGAAACAACAACATCAATTAAACAACAATAGGATCTGCTTTGACATCACTTTAATGTAACAAAGGATTTCTTTTCTTTTTGTGTGTCCTATGGTAAAAGCAAAACAGCAAAGCAAGAAACAAATAAACTCAACTTGTTCTCCGTCTTTCAGACCCAGTTTCTCTCCCAGTTGCCAGCACAGCTCGACGTTGTGGTCCTGTGGGTCGGAGGACACCCTGTTTCGGGTCCAGCTGAGGAAAACTGCAGGCCCATTGCCCCAGGAAAGCTCCAAGGCCTGATTCTAAAAAAGAAAGAAAACATGTGTGCTACCCCTCGAACTAAAAATATAAGTGTAGGTAGAATATGGATTTGGAGGGTCCTACATGCTCCTCTTAGAAAGAAAATAAGAACAGGTTTCTACTATCGCCTGATTTATGTTCTCACTCTAATAAAAACAACAAAAACTCCACTTTTTCTTATCAACAGGATATAAAACAAAAGAAAGCAAAAGAGTATCAACTTTTTCATGTAGAAAAAAAAACATGTTTTTGTGTGGCTCCCCCTTTGATTGCAGAGGAAAGTTAACTTTTGAGGTATGTCTCTGTCAGTTTGATCTAAAATTTAGACTTTAAACTTAGATTTATTTAGTATACATGAGTGTATACAAAAATAAATTTCATTTAAAACAGCTCTAGATAATTGCATTTTTTTTAAGTGCAGCATTGAAAACAGTAATAAATACATTAAAAATAGTAATATAAACATATGACTGTATATTTACAGTTCTAACATTATTATTATTTTTAAATAACTTAAAAAAGATCCTTTTTTTTAAATGTCTAAAAACTGACATTTTGCAGACAGTTCCAGTAAATTTCATATATGAGAGTAAAGGGGGTTAATATATTAATATAGATGAGTGCTAATTTCTTCAGATTTTGATTTGGTAATAAAAAAATAAAAAAAGTAAAGTAAGTCTGATAAATTATTTGATTAAAAGTATATTTTAGGAGAACATGATAAGAGATGTGATACTATGCAACGAGGTGAATTGTTGCGAGATTTGCGAATTCTCAAGCTACCGAAAAGATGTAGTTCAATTTGATTTCTAAACGCTATCAATCTGGTTAATGAAGATTTATGTCTTTACAGAGAAAGTGAAATAATTATTGATATTTAGGATAAGGATTCAGTTAAATTACCAACATTTAGTCTATTATTTAAGAGAATAACAAAACATACATATGGAAATAAAAATGACATGTCAGGTATATATAGACATAAAGAAAGAGTGACACTATTTAAATGTTTAACTTTTTAAATGTAGTGGTTTAGCTAGGCTAACCTACCTCCTGTAAGGAAAGGTGCGATATCAACGTCAATGGCAGGTGAAGAAAGCAGTTTTTAGCGTTGTTAAAAACAACTCTTACAGCCTGAATGCCCTGACTACTAAACATTTTATTTACATTGCCAAAGTAGCTCTGTAAACGACAGAGAAGCTGCTCCAGCTACTTTGCAACGAGCTCTCAATCGATTCTAGTCAGACCAAACTAAACGACACTCGGTATGTTTTTCAAAATAAAAGGTTTGACAAGGGTCTTTAAAAAAAACACACGCGTCCGTTAATCCAAGTGTTATTTATTTTGAAGGCCACCGATCGGAAATGCATTGCACTACAAACATGGCTGCCCCGCTCAACAACAAACCGGACTGTTGGAGAAGCCCAGAAGTCTACAAACACCATGAACAGCAGAAGGTGTGCATTTCTCGACCGAAATACCGGGAAGGGAGAAAGGCTAAAGCGGTTAAGGTAATGACGCACGTTTAATACATAAATAACAAACTAAAAAGTGTTTTACAGATTGTATCGTTGAACCTACAGTTAATTTAAACAAGACTTTCCTTAAAACACAAGGGTTTTTATCTTACAAGACTAAACAATTCCATGCTATATACGATTTTTTTTAAATCAAGTAGAGCTAATGGAAATTAGTAAAATGTTGTCCATCAAAGGAAGCATCACCTGGCTGCTAGACATTTTAGGAGTACCTGACTCTTAACAAGCATATGGTGAAAGTGGGTTACAAAATCCTTGATATAAGACAGAAACTACACATTTAAAACCCACTACAGGGTTAGAATTACTTTAAAACATAAAAGACATAACGGTAATGGGTAAAACAGTGTTTGTAAAACCCATTAACAAGTGGAAGGAAATTGGATACTTTCTATAGGAAAGATAAATAAATGGCTTTCCTCAAGTACACCTGCAATGAACCCTTAATAGCAGCAACACAACTAAACCTAAAGCGCATGGCTAGAATTACTTTAATGAGCAAAGGAAAACACATTATAAATGCAATATTTGCATGTACCGTGCAGTTGTTGCGTGCTGCTACACTTTATAAATTGAAATGTCTATTTCACTGTTGTAAGCCGCTCATTCACTGATAAAAAATGTTTCCATCAAAATTTCATTTTTTACACACACTGTATATAAATTGACAATAAAGTTTGTTTAAGTCTAACATCTCTGGCAGTGATCATGTCCTGAAAAGAGATACAGCTAAAGACAAAACCTCCGAGCCAAGAGTAATTTCTATGAAAAAAAAAGTTAATATCAGGGCCTACATATAAAAAAAACCCTGAGCTGTTAAAAATAATAAAATATACTTTTGTCACATATAAAAATGGGAGGTGATTACACAGAAGAGGGGCATGCTTTCAGAAATCAGCAGTAAATACCCAGTTGTAACACATTTGTTTTGTTTTAACAGGTGTACACTGTGAATTTGGAATCCCGTTACCTGATGGTTCAAGGGGTTCCAGCCATCGGTGTGATGACGGAGCTGATCCAGCTGTGTGCGCTGTACGGCACTGTGGAGGAGTACCGACCCCTGGATGAATATCCCGCTGAGGAGTTCACAGAGGTCTACCTTGTCAAGTTTCAAAGACTACCAAGTGCTAGGTATGCTATGTGGGACTTGTTGTCATGAGGGTTCTGTAATGAAGCCGAGGACAGCTGCTGAATAATTTTGATAAAATTGTGTTGTTTCAGGGCAGCAAAGCGTAACATGGATGAGAAGAGTTTCTACGGTGGTGTGCTGCATGTGTGCTACGTCCCAGAATATGAGACAGTAGAGGACACGAGGCTGAAGCTGCAGGACAGGAGGAGTTTTATAGCAAGAGCCGCTCGGAATAGGGGTATCTCACTAAATGTATTTAAGTGAATAATTCAATGAATGTATACAATATTTTTGCCTTTTTTCCCATATGGAATTTTTTTCTTTCTTATTCCAATTGCAAAAGAAAAAGAAAAGACAGATGCTGTTCAAGAGAGTCCTGCATCATCAGTGAAAATCCCCGCCCGACATGAGGAAACATTTGAAAATAAAAACACAAGAGATGCTTCAGGCCCGAGCCACTATTCAGAGTTTCCTCCGCTGCCATTGCCTCCCCAAAAACTCAAGAATTCATACAGACAGAAGAATCACAGTGGAATTGTACAAAAAGAAGACAAAATGGGGACTCTGCATAATGCCATTTCCAACATAGAACAGCAGGAGTTGGAGAGTTTTGGCTCCAAACCAACCGCCTCTAAGAGCGACCAAGGACCAGAAGGGAGACTATATTTAAATCCCATCTCTGAAGCCAGATTTACTCCAAGGGTTGCTCACCTGGAGAACAGGAAGCGTAAAATAGAAGAGTCTAATGAGAGTGCAGTGAATGTGTCTGGAGAAAATGAGCCGTTCATTGGACCTAAACTACCAGAACAACCAAAACTTGACATGGAAGATGACTCTTTAAACACAACTCTCAACCTGATCAGGAGCACAATGAAGCAGGTAATTTTTCACTTGTTTTTATTTTACATAAATAACAAATTATGACATAACTTTGTCTGTCTAATTCTTAGGTGGGATCAGCTCCAGATATTAGACCTATTCAGAAAAAAGCCAAACCGCGTCGCCGGATATAAACTGGACAGACATCGACCAATGTTTTGTAAATGGGTTCTTTAATTTCTTAAACATTGTAAGTCAAAGTACATTAGATCATAATAAAATAAAAACAGAGTTGAAAGTGTACACGAATGTGGGTAGTTTCATTGACCCTGTTGTTCTTGAAATACAAGCCGCTCAAACTTCTCAATACTCTAGAAGAAAAAAAGAAATATTGGATTAAGAACATCTTACATAAATGTAAGATTTAAGATTTCCATAATTGTGAGGTTACCATGGGATCAGGGAGGCATTTTCCAAATGCCTCTAGGAGGAGTTTCTCCTTACGCACTGATTTTTGAAAGTCCTTATATGACAGCTTGCCATCACAATCGTGGTCCTGACGGTGAAAGAAGGCAAGGTTTGAAACATACATTATGTTGTTTGACTTTTAAAAAGATAAAACCAAAAGCTTTTCCATAGCGCTGATAAAAGTGCACAGTGATCTTCTCACCATCATCTTCATTGAGGTCTCAACCAAATCTCTAACCCTTTCTTTCGGATCCTTCTCATTGGGCCGCTTGATGAAGCACCCATCCAGCATATTAAAAATCTCTTCTTTGGTGATGAATTTGTCACCATCCAGGTCATACACTTCATAACAGTCTGGGTGAGAAAAAAATAGGAAAGGTTAATAAAACGGTGCGCCTTCCCAAATAGGCCACTATGTTAAAAAATGTATTATTTCTATAACATACTTTGACTTAAATTCCAAAACTCCTTTAACTTAGGTTTCAAGATGTAATGAATGAATCCTTTGCTTTACTTAAGGAAGTAACTGAAGATGTCTATTTGGTCATTCCAATAGATCCTAATTTCCAAGGTTAAAGTCAAAGAAAGTTAAAAAAAAAAAAAAGTATGGATTTTTTTTTTCTTCTTTTTACCATTTTCTAATTTTTTTGATTTTTTTTTTTTTAAGTTTTTTGCAGCACTAGTGGCTCGTTTTTCTGATAGTAGGCTGACAGGAAAGGGGGAATGAGAGAGGGGGAGAGACATCCGGGAAAGGACCACAGGCCGGATTCGAACCCGGGTCGCCTGCGTCACCATTTTCCAATTTTGTCTAACTATGGAAATAAAAACAAACGTAAAGTTTTTGATATGTCAGCATTTTTCTGTTTCCTGAAAGCTATCAGTCTTATTAATGCTTGATCACTGTAGTGGTTTTACATTGACTTTTGATTTGTATTTTGGCAAATAATTTGAATTTGGACAGTTGTGTTTATCTGGATTTATAATCACTGAACACACACTCCTTGAAAAATAGAAAGGAGAATTGTGCAGAAGCATCTATTTTGTCTCTTTTCAACTTTAAATTCATGTTAAAGTTGGCCTTGGTTTCCAAAACATCCATCCATCCATCCATTTTCTTACACGCGTAGCCCAAGTGGGGTCAAAACAATAAAAAAAGAAATGCTATTGATAGTATTTTTTTTACAGAACAAGGCACTTAAGTTTCTAACTGGTTGAGAGAATCTACAATTTTCCACTCTTAGACACACCATTCTTTAATAGACAAGGTATAAAGTCACAGTAGGTTGAGATAGCATAGAAAATATTGATGCTCTGGCAAACTCTAAATATTAGAAGCCAACTTCACTATTGTTCCATTATTTGTAGGATTACCACCTCTATACACGCAGGCACACAGATAATACTTTGTACTCAAATCTCCTGAATTGTATAGCAAATGTAGAACAAAAATATAGAAATGAGTCTGGAAAAGTAGAGCAACACTGTACATCTGATTGCTTAAAATGCACAACCGTTAATAGAGTGTTTTGTGGTGTAAATAATAATCGTTTTGTATCGATGCATCGATCCAACAGCCGACAATCCGATGCATCGAAAAGTAAGCAAGAGTATTGATTCATGTTTTTTTCCCCTGCAGTCTATTTTTATCCATTTGCTCCTGAACATAATTCTGACTCCCGTGCTGCGGTGGTGCTAAACCTATTTTGCCCTCCTACCTCACTTCCTTTAGCCGCTACCCTCTTTCTGCAAACACACGCTCACATAAACAGTAGGCAAGACAGACATGGCGGAGATAGCGGAGGTGAAAGAAGAGGTAGGAAAGATAGACGTGGCGGAGGAAAAAGCAGATGATGTATTTTGAGTATTGAAAATAATTGAATCGTTGGGTCAGGAAATTGATACTGAATCGAATCGCCATGATGGGTGTAATTTACATCCCTAGAGCAGTTACCTAGCTTTTATTGGTCAGTCTGAAAAAAGTACATATACTGTGTTCTCTAGGTCTATATATCACATTATTGACAAATCCTGTATTTTTCCAGATTAAATTAATGACAAATTGAAGGACTGATTTAAGTAGTTTACTTGTTGAATAATGGGACATATTATTTTGGACAAAAAGACAAGAGATGAAAACTTGCATTTTATTTTCTCATCGAGCGTCCCACGAAGAAGAACAGACAGCCCTCTGATCCATTCCTCCACACTAACGATCCCATCACGATCTTCATCAAAGTTCCTGAAAACTAGGAAAGAACATACTATTAATAACCAATAGAACAAAAATAACATTGGTATTTTATTGATAAACAAAATCTTACATTCAACATAAATTATTATACTTCAATTTAAAGCAATTTTGTGTCTGATGCTGAAATATTACTTCAAGAAAAATATTTACATCATTTAGACGTTGCTTTTTTTGGCTAAATCTGGTCAGTCCGTCATAGTCTTTATGTAGTTCACGATCTGAAAATGACAGCTTTTTATGATAAATCGGCCTGCCACAGGACTTTAAATGACAAGTTGGTTGACGTCATTTGAGCAGTGGCGACTTGCCAATAGAGGGCGCTAGGGTGCCGCCCCACCCACCCATTGACCTTGATTAACGCATAAAAAAATTAAAATCATAAAATAAAAATATTTTGAAATATATTCATATACTTTTTAGATATACAAGAACTGTGGTCACAGTCGTAGCGCGGCTGATTGACAGTTGCGGTAGTGAAGTCCCTTAAAGCAAACTTACCAAGAGAAGCTGGATGTGATAGCATTTGGAAGTGATCAGCCAAACATCAAAATGAATCAGTAGTCCAAAGACAGATGGAGACGGTACGTTATAGGGTCTTTTTCCAGGACCTGGTTTAGTTACAAGGCTTGGCTAACTGCATGCAGCGAGGCTAATGCTTTATTCTGCTGCCTTGACTGCCTGCCTCCTTTTTCAATTGTTGGGGGACCTATAGGTATTCTTGATTTAACCCTTTTTAGAAAAGGCAAAGAAGCACGAATAAACTTGGATTCACATGGAAAATAATATATAGTGTTCTTTTTTTAGTTGTTTGCTAATTTGCATAGTTACTCTTAAATAAACACATTCTCAGAAAAAAAATTTTTTTTTCATATATTAAAAAGAATATAAAGCTGACTACTGGCTTCTCCGTTATTAAACTGTTACATTATATTTAGGTACGTGACACCATATTGGGCCATGCAAAACACAAATTTGCCTTCACAAAGCCTCAGAAGGGCAAGATTTATGTACAAAAAGTAAACCTGTACATGAAATTATGTTTTTGTAGAGTGTTGTTATAATGTGTTTTGTTGTTGGCATTCATATAAATATACATTTTTATTTTCACTATTGTCGTAATATAATTTCAGATATCTTAAATTATCATTCAGGATTCAACATTTAGTTTTTCATAGTCAAAACCTTTTCTTTGATATCTTATAAGTAATCAAAGGATAGTTAGAAGATGATGATTTTATCATAAAACGGTCTGCCATACCTCTCTCTGTAACCAAATGTAGACGTTTATACATACACCATGTCAACTTTATAATGTGTTTTCAACCAAGTTTCGCTCGGTGGGTACGTCTGTATTCTGATTTGAATCAGTCCAACATTTTTTTTAAATATACAATCGGAGGGAAAATAAGGTTTTACCTCCGTCCAACATTAGGGGTTTGTTTATCCCAAAGGTGGTCTGCATTATTCCTCTGAAGGTCTCTCTATCCAGACCATGTGCTGCTCCAGATGGGCTGACCTGCTTGGCCAGAAGAGCGTTGAAGCGCTTGATCAGACACTCGATCTCTGTTTTAGTAACTGGGAAAATACAAAAGGAGCAGATCATTTAGCAGCGGTTAACTACAAAAAGGTCCTAATTTACTGAACGAGTTAATGTTGGAGCTCACAACGTTCCACTTTTTTCGAGAATGTTTCAGCCTGGTCTTTTTTCTCCTTCCTGTTCTTAGCCGACATTTCTCTTATTTTAACACCTTCCTTGAGCTTTAACGTTTTCGTAGTGAACGTACCGGTACTCTTTTTTTTTGTTTTTTTTTTGTTAATGTAGGTGGGTGTGAGTTGTTGACGTCTCCATGGCAACAGTGCAGAACTCACGCTCACGTGGTCTGTGACGTGTGCTGTGCATAGTTTAAAGTTGACGCGAAAATATATCTAGCCTGTTAGATGGACTTACAAATGAAATACTGTCGAGCACGTGCTTTGTAGAACATGCTGTATTTTGGGCACCAGTGCTTTTTTTTTCTTTTTTTTTTTTTTTGACCACTTTGGGGCACTAATACGGAGGACCAACTCTGCCATATCTAAAAATACATATATAAATAAATAAATGCTTAATAAATAAATAAGCATTATATTAATTGCCCCCAAAAATATATAAATATAAATACAATAAACAAAAAAATGTAGGTAGAAATTAGATTAAACAGTGAGACATAAATGTATATATCTCTTTTAATTAGCTTCTTTATTTATTCGCCTTTGTAATAATTGCCTTATTTATTTATTGTCCATTATAATCTTCAACTTTATTTATTTATTACTTATTTTTTTTAAGTATTTATTTATGTGAAATATGTAATTTCTTGTCTGGTTTATTCTTCCTTTGTATTGTTTTTTACCCTATTTATTTCTTCAACACTATTTCTGCTTGTTTTTAAATTTCTGTATGCATTTCTGCCTCATTATGCAAATCAGGAGAGGCTGTGTCTTAGAGAGTCAACTTCTGCCCATTGGTTGGTTAGTATTTTACTGCATATGTCGAATCTACAGTAGGAGAGGAGAGTCTGAAGTCAGAGGCCGTTTCTCAATTCATAAGAACGTGAGTACGAACTCCTGTCCTCGCCAAGTATGTTCTTGAGAAGAAAAGTCTGGACTCTGAGAGAATGGGAGCACGCAATATAAATATGGGTCAATTGGAACAGAAGTGTACTCGTGACGTCACCACATGCTCGCTCGTCTGAAGCTGCTTTTCTCCCCCTGTTATTAATAGTCTCTAGATAATACTAAATTCTGACTTTTCATTTAGTGGGGGAAGAATAATTAACAGTCAGATAAATTGTTGATTATATTTTTGGGGGGAATTAATTGCATGCTTATTTATTTATTGAGCATTTATTTATTTCTGAATTTATTTTTAAATATGGCGGAGTTGGTCCTCCATACACTATAAGTGGGTTGCTTATTGCTCCGGGGGCAGTTGTTGACCACATTTACTGTGGGGGACCAAATTAGGGCCAATATTTTTCATGGGGGCACACAATTAGAAGAAGGGGGGAAAAAACAATATATTTAACATATTAAGTGAGAGGTAGAGCAAAAGAGCCACATACAACTATGGACACCCCAGGTATAGCAGATATAAAGTAGGAGTGCGCCAATCTATAGCTCCTGATTTTCTTACTTTTGGGAGATCGATGATTGACCGGTACTGAGATGTGAAACCGATCTCAACTCCAGATTTGACCTACTTCTGCAAAGCTTAAAGTGCTCTAAGCTTTTCATTTATATGGGAAATATAATGGGAAACTTGTGCAGTTGAAACAAGATGTTTTACATGTTCTTTTTTCCCCCAATAACATGAGATTAATTATTTTAAGGTGTGTTGTAATTTTATTTAAGCTGTTAAAAAGAGAATATCAGTATTTGTCAAAATTGTAATTAGCATGTCAGGCTTTTTAAAGATCGGTTATTCACAAGAAAACTGCAATCAGTGCATTGCTAAAACCACAATCTTATCTCAATACAACTGAAGTTAAAAGTCCAACACTTTTTGAATCATTTTAAAAATAAAACTATAAAGGTAAAAAAAAAAATCTAAGAAATGAACTAGATCCACGGGATTTCGGAATTATGGTTTCTGCGCCGTATAACAAATAAAAAAACATATTAATATACTAACTATACACATGTACTGTGCCCATGCGCTGTACACATCAGTACATGGGCCATAAAAGTCTGCCCTGAGATCCCTCTAGTGAAAACATACACTGCAAAATTAAAATAGAAATTATTTAATCTTTCTTAAAATAAGATAATTTTTCCTTGATTTAAGTAGGTCATTGAGAACAGTTTTGGATGGAATGATTTACATTTAGAGTGATAAAGAAAAAAAAACCAATTCCATTAACATGTTTGAAAGGCATAATATCTAGTAATATTAATTTAAGGGCAGAAATACTCATTCTTTTTGTCAGATTTTCTTACATGGGGCAAATACAGTTATTTAAAGAAATGTTGCAGTGTATCATCTGTCATGCATCAATTTCTTATGATATGCACTGACAGAAGAGACTATAAGTAATTTGACTATTAGACCAATTCAATATTCAATTGACTTTAACAGTTACTTAACATTATGGTCAGCCGTAAGCTTCAGCCGTATATTAAGATAGGTTACATTTTCATCTGTTAGATAAGGGGTCTGCAACCATGGCTTTGTGGCTGAAAACTAAACAATGCATGACTGCCCTTTTTATGTGTATGCATGTTTTTAATTATTTTGTTCAGTGCCGCTATTAAAAACAATGGCCGCACTGTGGCCCATCTAGAAAATGTGGTTTAGCATTACCTGCATCTGAATTCTGCAGGTAATTACATCAAGTCTGAAGTCTTCCACAGGTTATCTTCCAGGAAATCTTAGTATTTAGTCCCATCCAGCTGAAGAACAGCATCCTCACAGAGCAGCCATGTAACACCAAAGCAATGTTGTGTTAAGGGGGGATGTAAAGTATATGGGTCTGGATCTTATTGTAGGTAGTAAAAAACTAAATGACAATAACATTGCAAGAATATTGGAGATCACACATTTTCCTTAAGAAATTAAGAAGATTTATCAGACAAACTTTAGTGGGTTTGGAGCTGTCATTAATGTCTTGATGAGCTTACATCTACTAAATTGCTTATTACATCAGGGAGAGGTTAAATATTTCACTCTGCAATGGGAAACTCAAAAACCAGAATGTCAGCAATTGTAAACGGATTGTAGATAAGCTGATATTACACGAGGCCAAAAAAATAAATAAATAAATAAACTAATAGAAATACAGTCACTAGGACACAATCTTTTATAAAGTGATATATGCCTTAAAAAAAAAAAAAAAGATGTGAGTTTTTCTGTAGATGGGCGATTAACAGATGATTTAAAAATTCTAAAACCTACACAATATTCATTAAATCAATAAAAAAAAAAAAACAAGCCCGAATTACAAAATAGTAATTTTTCTGATATGGCTCCAGGATGGAGTCAAATATTCTGTCAGTGCTGCCATCTACTGGGGAAAAAACTGTAGGGGTTCAGTCTGATTCTGAATCCATCATTTAAGGCTGACATTTAAAACCCCTTTTGAAGAAAATGTAACATTACACAGACAGACAGACATATTGGGTTGTAGTGCTTTTAAAATGGTCAAACACAAGTTGCCAACAAGATGATGAAAAAATTATATTAAAAAAAAAACATCTAAGATTCTCCCAAAGCATAAATGAATATTAATAAGAGAAAATAAAACAATCTTCTTTACCCATAGACCCAAAGATGATTGACAGTAACATAAGACATCAATGCAAGCGGGATAAAATATTAATGTGTGCCTGCTGTTATCCCCTAAAAATGCCTTATTCTTATACATGAAGTTACAATACACATGAAAAAAACAATTCTTTATTTATAGTTTATATATTGTATTAATCAATAAACTACAATTGATTATAAATGCATTCTTCACCAGATTTAAACACTGACTAGACAAAATACATTTTGATATGCAGACGTATCTACAGAAACAACTAAGTTATTCCTGAACTCAAAGAATATTACTGCTGACTTAATTTTTAAGTGTGAACGTGTGTGTATCTATATCATAAATACAGAAATGTTACAGTCCAACCGCTGTTTGAACATGAATGTGAATGAGTGTTAAAGAGCAGGATGTTCTGGTCATGCAGACCGCTGGGTCAGGTTAGTTCTGATCGGTAGGGTTGTGTTGATCCAACGGTTTGGGTTTTCAATCATGGAGGTCCAAACAGCGACTTCATCTTCCGTGGAGTCCATCCAGTTAACAGCCTCCCCATAGCTCTGACCTGCCGTTAAAAAAATGTCAACATGCAGTTAAAAGTCTCGAACATTACCACAAACCATAGACCCCAGCATATGTCCAGGAGTCCTAGGAACCCAGGAAGGTTTTAGCATAAAATAAAATAAATTCTGAATTATTATTATGTGTGTCAAGAGTTCTGTGAGCAGCTATGGCTACAGAGTAGCTTTTTATAATTTTGTGTGAACGACTGTGCAAAGCGCTATGGAGTCCCCTGAGATGAAAAAGCGCTACATAAGTGCAATTCATTTCACATTTAATAAATTCCCAGAAATTATTTTAAAATAAGTTGGCATAAGTTTCTCTAATCCCAAGATCTTCTGAAGGGTTTAAAATGATTCAAGTGCAAAATTTGAACTCATTCAGTTTTTGAAAAAGTATTGTCACCATGCAGAAAATAAACACTGCAAATTGAACCTATATCTGTGTTTTTCTTCAGGTGTATAGGTGGTGTTATAAAGACAAACTTTGAACTACAGTATGATGTCACATTTCCAAACTAAATTAACACTGTTGTGGTAATTACATCAAGATCCTTTGCAAAGACAAAGGTGAAGCCAATAAGGGTGAAAAAAAAGATGTAAAAACTACCTTTTAACTTTTACCAAAACATATTCTAACTACAATATTACAACAGATTATTTTCTTCCCTGGTGAATATTAGAACCTGTGTGATGAAACAGGGGTAAAGAGTTAAACTAATACAAGTTTAAAGGTTCTCACCTGTTCCACAGCTCAGACGAATCCCCCCCAGGATGTTCGACTTCAGTCCATCTCTTTGACAAACTGTGAGCTCAGCGCAGGCCTCCCTCAGGTCGCTGGTTTGAAAGCCGTCGTAGACCATGGTGTGGTTGTACGTCGGACTGACTGAGTGCTTCACAACACGGGTTTTTTGACCGCTCTGTCGACTGACATCTG